TCTTAATATATGTTGACAGGAGAAGATATGACTTTGGGTGGTGGGCACACAGAGCAATATACAGATCATGTAACATAGAAACCCACACCTGAAACTTATATGTGCATATTAACCATTGTCACCTCAATACATTTAATCAAGTGTTTTTTAAAAAAAAAAAAAATGTCATCTGATTGCCCCACAGCTCTGACCTAATAGGTTGGACTCTTAGGCAGCTTTGAGGAAAGTCAGCAGCCCACTGGCCTAGGGTTAGCTACATACTTCCTGGAGGAGAAAGAAGGATGCCCTTATTGCCTGAGGTTTCAGCACTTGGGGTCACCACTGTCCCCCCCAATTCCTTCACACTGTCACAATCTTGGAAGAAAATGCTATGCAATTTGCTTTGAGATCTTAAAAAAATACTAAGTCACAGAGCAGTCCGGGCCAAAAGAAAACTCAGAGCACAAGTGCTCCAGCCTCTTATTGTTCTGAGAACACTGAGACCCAAGGTTACATGATGAGGATGAAGAAGTCTTGGTCTGAAGCCCAAGTCTGCAGCCCCTTCAATCAGCATCAACTGCCTGCAGCTCACACTCCCAAGGCCCACTGAGCTATGGAGACCCAATCTCTGCTGCCAGGAGAGGAAGCCTGAGGAGCTGGAGAGGAAGAGGCTGGGGAGAACTGAGGCAGGGAACAGGAAGTAGTAGGAATTTGCTCGGCCCAATTGTAGTTTGATCAATCGCAAGCAGTTGTGTGACAGTGGGAGAGGCTGCTGGAACCACGGCTCCCCTGAGCCTCATCACTCAGCAATACGGTAATAAAGTGGCCAGGGCTAGAAAAATGCTATGAGACTCCAGAGAGCTCAGCCTCATCCCACTGGATTATAACCCTATTATCAACACCCCTGGGGCTTGTTCTGTCTCCTTCAACCCCAGCTCTGGAAATGAGACCTGCCAGGGGCATTAGGAGATGGAGGTGTAGGCTGGAGGGATGCAGCCTGACCCAGCCCAAGGACCAACAGAGAGGAGAGGCAGGATGAGAGAAACTGACTCTCCAGGACCACACCTGCCATTGATGCCTGGGGGTAACTCTTCTTCCTGAGCCCCAACTCATGTCCACTGAGGCCTTAGCCATGCACTGGCTATGCCATGGGGGAACAGAAGGAGGAGAAACTAGGGACCAGGACTGAGGGTCCTGGAGTGCTTGGGGCAAGTCCTCAACTGTCAAAAAGTTAACAGACAGCAGAGACTGTGAAATTTAGCTGTGGATACTCAGAAGACAGAAAGAGCCCTGAAGGTTTCAAAGGAAAAGAAAAGCTTCCTGGGGAAAGTGAGGCTAACAGGCTGGAAGAGTCAGAATTCCATTCCTGAACCATTGCCACAGATCTCCTGCAAGTCCCACCCTCCTCCCACACTTGGACCAGAGAGTATGCAAAGCAACAGGTACCTAATGTCATTGTATGTGACACTGCCCAGCATGCCAGTGCTTCCAGAGAAAAGTCAAAGTCCCATCACATGATAATACTATTCAGTAATAAACAGAAATGAAATTCTGATATGTGCTACAACATGGGTGAAACTTAAAATCATCATGTTATGTGAAATAAGCCAGACACAATAGGACAAATATTGTATGATTTGCAGTACCTAGAATAGGCAAAGTCATAGAGACAGAAAGCAGAATGGTGGTTGCCCGGGGCTGGGGATATAGGGATCATGGGAGAAGAGGAGTTATTAATGGGAAAGAGTTCCTGCTTGAGAAGATGAAAAACTTATTGAAATAGATAGTGATGATAGTTACACAACATTGTGAATGCACTTAGTGCCACTGAATGTACATTTTAAAAAATAGTTAAAATTCATGTTATATGTATTTTACTGCAATAAAAAAAAATCCATCATGTGCTGCCATGCAAGGTCTCTGCCACCTTCCCTAACTTCTGGAGAGCATGGACCTAGACTAAGGGGAGAACCAAGGGTATTGCTAGGTACAGGTAATGCCATCACAAGCATATATCTCATTCCCTGAATGTCCCTCTGTCCTAGCCACTGCGAACTGCCTTCTGTCTCTTATAGACACCATGTCCTGTCATGTCTCTGTGCCTTTGCACATGCTGTTCCTTTGGCCTGAAATTCCAGCTTCCCCTTCTCTTCCTGGCTAACACCACCTGGTTCTTCAACACTCTGCTGTTGTACCACCTTCCCTATGAATTCTCCCCGACAGTGCTTCCTACACAAGCAGAGTTAGACCCACCCTCCTCTGGAAATCATGCCTGCATGAAGGTGCCCATGTTGGCATGTGCTGAATTTGGGGGTGCATAAGATAATGATGCCTTCTTGATGAGGAGCTGGAGAGGGCAGCCCAAGACATCATAAAGTCATAGCAAAAACTCCAGTGTCACATCCTGTAGGCATTCTTAATTAAAGCAATAGCAACAAGCCACTTCTCGGGTCAGCAACAGAATGTGGGCAACTTCCTTACATTACACATTTTCTATGTGAATGTAAACCATGGCTCAAAAACAGTGCAGGCATTGCTATAATATTAGGGTCAAGCTCAATATTAACTTCTCAAGAATGCAGTGATATTTTGGTCCACCAGCAACAGAGAGAAAAAAGATAAGGACTTGGAGAAAATCAAAAGATCAACTAAAAGCTATATCTACCCCATCTCTCTAGGGAAACTTTTAAGTGGCCACAACTAGAAGAACTGAAAACAGAATATTAGCTTAGGAACTTTATGATCTATAAAAATGTTAACCCACCAATCAAGATCTGGTTTCCTATTCTATTCCAAGATAGAGGATGCTGAATTTACATAAATTCAATCACATTTCATAAATACATACGTACATACATACATACATACAGAGACAGATAGAAATATATGACTAAAAATACTTAGATTTTTTAAATCCTTGTAAAATTACAATGAGATATGCACACCTGCAAACCTATACTTCAGCAAATACAATACTGCATCTAAGTCCCTGTTTCCCCATCTAGACCATGAGCACCTTGAGGGCAGGTCCCTTTGTGGTCCCAGCCCAACAGAGTGTGCACAGAGAAAATACAGAGCTGTCTACTTTGTAATTTATTGAGTTATTCTGTGGTTCAACAGGCAGCTGAAGCTTAATACACATTGGAAAAAAGGAAGAAAAGTCCTGACCACTGACAAGCTATCCTCAACTGTAAAATGGCCCTGCCTCCTATTGTAAGCACTTGGAGAAGCAGAGCTGCTGCACACAGAAGAGCAATATCCTTGCTCATTAGTTTACCGGCGCCAGTGGGTGAAGGGAGGGGTAAGGAGGGGGTTGTCAAATGGCAGGAAGGTTTCTTCCATTGCTGAGAAGCCGGATGCCTGGGCCCTGGGGCGGTGAATGCTGAGGCAGGAGCTGCACAGAACTCTCTGAGCAGGGAGTAGCTCAGTCTGCAGTTTGGGATGATGAAATCCAAGTGACATTTCAAGAAGAGACTGTTCACAGTGGCAGTGTTCATAATGGAGAAAAAAAAAAAAAAAAAAAAA